GGAACCTGAACATGGATTACATGTTATTTAATATTATTCTTTCAATGTTAGATGTCTTAGGTATGATACCGGTATTGTAGTTATGTAGAAGAATGCTTTTTCTTAGAGATAAATGCTTAAGTACTTAGGAGTGAAGGGCTGTGATGTCTGCAACTCACTTTCAGTGGTTCAGGAAACAGTACATGCACACATAAGCACAGACAATGCAAATACTGTGAACTTGGTGAGGTAGTAAATTAGTAATTGGTGATGGATAAGGAAAGGTGAAGGTTCTACAAGGGTCGATTGCGCTATTTTAAAAATTATATATTAGGTTTCACATTTTACCAAATAAAATGTTGGAGAAAAATTGTGCATGTGGACAGTTAAAAAGTGATTTTTCTTAATTTAATTCAACTTAACTCAATAATAAGCACCTAATGTGCTCTGGGAAGCATTATTCTTTGGGTGTTTTATAGTAAACAAGAAACAGTATGTGTTATTTAGTAAAGTTAATTCAGCAAGTTTGGAGTGTTTAAATCTTACACATTCTGAAGAAAGGACTAGACCTTGAGTAACTTCTGGGAGATAACCTCAGAGCCCTTGGAACATCCTGCCTGATAGGTATCTTTGTATATCTGAGACCTTGAGCCAAACTAGATAGTCTATGCTAAAAATGTGATTTATGGTAAATGCCTGGTTTTGTTTGCCTGGGGTCCTGAGCCATGCTGCATCATTTTGCCCTTGGGGTGGGGGCACAGAGACTGAGTAGTCAAGGTCATGTGGGTTCTCCATACCTATATTATCATAGATACCAAGGCTTGTGTAATCTACCCTAGTTAGCAAAACTTTGTACCCGTTGTCACACATGCAAGGAGAATTAAACACCATCCATGAAACATCACTGAGAGAAGTTCTATGAAGCGCACATCTGGTTTCTGCTGGACTTTGCCGTATGTGCTTTTTGCTTGTTGATTTTAATCTCTACCCTTTCCTTGTAATAAACCTCAGCCACGAGTATAACAGCCTTTCTGAATTCTCCTGAGTCCTTGTAGCAAACCATGGAAACTGTAGGCAGATCTGGGGTCTCCTGGCACACCTGCATTCTAGGAAATTTTAGTCAAGTTGATGGGTCCAGTAAAGTAGCATGGACAATGCCGACTCAGTTGCTGTCCAAGGGCAAGAAGGCAGTTCTTTGGGAAACTTGAAGCACGACCATAATTTTTTCTGAAAGTCAAGGGAGGCTCCTAGAAAAAAGTAATGTAGCTGTCCAATTTTTCCAGCACCACTTACTGAAGTAACTGTCTTTTCCCCATTGTATATTCTTGCTCCTTTGTCATAGATTAATTGACCATATAAGTGTGGATATATTTCTGGGCTCTCTGTTCTGTTCCATAGATCTGTGTGTCCATTTTTGTGTCAGTACCATACTGTTTTGATTACTATAGCTTTGTAGAATATCTTGAAATCTGGAATTATGATACCTTCAGCTTTGTTCTTCATTTTCCCTTTTTTTTTTTTTTTTTAAGATTTTATTTATTTATTTGACAGAGACATAGCGAGAGAGGGAACACAAGCAGGGTGAGTGGGAAAGGAAGAAGCAGGCTTCCTGCCGAGCAGGGAGCCTGATGTGGGGCTTGATCCCAGGACCCTGGGACCATGACCTGAGCTGAAGGCAGACGCTTAACGACTGAGCCACCCAGGCACCCCTGTTCTTCATTTTTCAAGAGTGATTTGGCTATTCAGGGTCTTTTGTGGTTTCATACAAATTTTGGTATTCTAGTTCTGTGAAAAATATTTTGATAGAGATTGCACTGAATCTATAGATTGCTTTGGGTAGTATCAGCATTTAAACAATATTAATTCTTCCAATGCATGAGCATGAAATATCTTTCCATTTGTTTGTGTCATCTTCAATTTCTTTTCAACATTTTATAGTTTTTAGAGTACAGGTCTTTCATCTCCATGGTTAAGTTTCTTCCTAGGTATTTCATTATTTTTGGTGCCATTGTAAATGGACTTTTCTTAATTTCTCTTTCTGCTACTTTGTTATTGTGTATAAAAGTGCTATCAATTTCTGGATATGAATTTTCTATCCTGCAACTTTATGGAATTAATTTATTAAGAAGTTTAAAATTTTAAGTGGTTAACTTGTTAATCTTTTCCTTTATGATTTTGGATATCTTGAATGGCTTAGATTATAAAATTATAAGTGAATTAGTTTGTGATTTTTATTATCTATCCCAAGATTACAATTTTATAATTGTATTATAAATTTTAGCTATTTAAGTATATATAATTCATTTTTATGTCAGGTGGAAGAAAGAGGCCCAATAAAGATTTTCTAAATAGAAGATTATATCATGTGCTAATTAAGCTTTATCTCTTTTTAAATGTTCATATCTCTTATTTTCTTTCCACGTCTTATAGTATTGGCTGGGTCTTTCAGGACAATGCTGAATAATTCTGGTGATTCTGATCATTCTTGTTTTGTTCTGACTTTAATGACAATACTTCTAAAATTTCAGGATATGAAATTTGCTGTAGGTTGATACCGTTCCTTAAGGAAGTTTCCTTTTCTTTTTACTTTATTAAAAGTTTCTTTAAAAAAGTAAATAAATATGGAATTCTATCAAATGTTTTTCTATCATTTGTTGAGAAGATTATATGGTTTTTCTTCTTTACTCCATGCTGGAAATGACATTAATGAATTCCCTAATGTTGACCTGTTCTTGCCCTCCTAGAATAAAATCTACCTGTTTGGGCTTTATTATTCTTTTCATACAATCAATTTATTGTCTTATTTGGTATTTATCATCTATATGATTACATAAGATGGTTCTGTATTATTCTTTTGTTCTGCTATTATTTTATTTTGGTTTCAGGAAAATATTAGCCTTGAGAATTCCTTGGAAATATTTCTTTTTTTTTCTTCATGCTTTGGAAAAGTTAGTGTATGACTCATCTTTAAAATCATCTGGAACTTGGGGCGCCTGGGTGGCTCAGCTGTTAAGTGTCTGCCTTCGGCTCAGGTCATGATCCCAGGGTCCTGGGATCGAGCCCCACACGAGCCCCACATCGGGCTCCCTGCTCGGCAGGAAGCCTGCTTCTCCCTCTCCCACTCCCCCTTCTTGTGTTCCTGCTCTCACTAACTCTCTCTCTGTCAAATAAATAAATAAAATCTTAAAAAAAAAATAAAATAAAATCATCTGGAACTGATATCATTTTGGTCAAGGTATATCCCAGAAATGTGAGGGAACTTACTGTTTAAACATACTACACTTTTTTTTACTTGCAATCTTCCCCCTCAATGTTTAATATTTCTCCAAGTTTTTCCAAAGACAATTATACTGAGAATGAAGTTTGCATTTAGTAAATCCTCCAGGTATCAGGACCCGCCTTCCTTAGGAGGCAGTGGGGAGTTATAAGTAACAAGATCTGTTTGTTCCCTAACCCGCTGAAATTTAAACCAAGGCCTTTATTTATGTATTGAACATGAGTGAGCATGTGTTTGAGTGCAATTTACCTTTAGCATATAAAGTCGCATCTGGAATCTGGAGTTAATAGCACCACATTAGCGGTTCATTATAGGGAGGTGTGAGCCTCCTCTTATAGATGAATGTTCTAGCCACTTCCCCAGTGAACACACTCGGTAATTTGTCTCTATTGAGAGTAGATCTTTGTCTCTATTTACTTATCTAGTTTCTTCACTCTTCTGAGAGAGAAAAGAGGTCACTTTTTCTTTCTTTTTTTTCTTTTTCAGTTTGGTGAATAATGCTATATAATTTTTGTTTTCATTTTGGACTAAACTATAACTACTTTTATTATTATTCCATTGGTATTTGGGGTGGGGGAAGACTATTTATACTAGCCAGCTACATATGTATGACCTACCATCATGGTTTCAAGCAACTCTAAGAGGAGAATCAGATGACCAAAGCAGCAAAGTTTTATTCCCGTGGACATTGGGGAGGGTATGTATTATGGTGAGCACTGTGAATTGTATAAGACTGATGAATCACAGACCTGTACCCCTGAAACAAATAATACATTATATGTTAATAAAAAAATTAAAAAAACAAAAACAAAAGAAAATGGCATTTGCTTAGGGAGCCACACCCCTCAGAATACGATTGTCCTACTCTGTTCTGCAGAGCCTGTTACCCAGCTGCCCACTGGACCTTGCTTCCCTCTGTTACTCCCCCACCCCTGTCCTGTCCTCAGCACTATATTAATCTGTATTCTTCAGAATTATTGACACTAATTGAATAACATTTGTTTGTACCTATTAATTATCTGTCTCTCCCCTAAAATGTAGGCACTATGAGACCAGCGACTTTGTCGATCTTACCTCCATTGTATTCCCAGGGCCCAGATCAATGGAGCACTCAATAAATGAATATAGGTGATGGCCAGGATCTGAAGGCTCAGCACCAGCTGTCCCCCAGAGAGCCCCTCATAGGGCAGCAGGGTCCTTTAAGTGTCCCACTGAGCAAGGCAGGTCATTGACTCCTCCAAGGCTTATGTGGTGTGAGGGCGGCTTGGGACTTCCCAGGCAGGATTCAGGGGATGTTACCTATCAATGTTCTTGAGGGCGAGTCGGAAGGTTTCCCAAAGAGTTTACCTTAAAGAGGAAGACTGACATCTGCAGTCTGCTCATGAGTCCTTGCAAAGTGGCCTGCCTGTCATGTTTACCTATCTCTTCATTCACCGTTCGAAGCTTTTCGGGTACCAAAGTGTAGCTGAGTGCAATCATAGTTGTTAGTGTCATATAATCAGATGCATGGTTTTGACAGGGAACATTCCATACCTGTCTTTGATTACTTGGGTTAGCTTAACCTCAATTAAGGCAATGGCGCATTCACCTGATGGATTCAAGGTGGGCAGATGGAGCTGACACAGCTGTCTGCGATGCCAGGTGGAGGGAGGGAATTTAGACCCAAGTGAGAGCAACATCTCAGCAAATGCACCGTCTGCTCTTCTAGGACGGTTTTTAAAAGGAGGCACTTTAACTCTTTCAGGGAACAGATTTCCAGGACAGCTGCTGGCATTCAGGTCCCCTGAAGGGATGTGAACGGTTTCAAGGGAGCAGTTTATTCCCTTCCCACTGACGTGAGCAGGATAACAACATGGAGCAGCGTGTGCATCTGGAACCCTATCAAGGCCCACTTGACGCCTGTGACGAGGTCAGTAAAAGTAAGAGTTGGCTCATTTTCAGATGGTGAGCTAAGGCAGCCAAGCCAGAGACCTGGTCTGTGTGAGGTCAAGCCGAATGCTGGGGAGGGAGGGGAAACATAACCAGGTGGTTTCAGTTAATTCTGGAGAATCTGAATAAACAAATGGTAGGACGGTTTTTATTTTGCTCTGTTGCTGTGTTCCTGCTCAGCCATTTGGAGTGGAATTTTCCACCTGAACCAATAGATTAACATATGTTTATTCAGCTAAACCTCTGTGCTTTTTTTTGTGTCACCTGCTATTCTATTTAGTAAACTGTGTATTTAACTAAAGCTTTGTGCTAGGTACTCTTAAAGACACAAGGGCAAATAAGATAAAGCTCCTCTGTGTCACATGTTTCGCCTAGTGGAGGAATCAGACATATGCATAAATAAATCTAATACACAGTGAGATTTTGGCAAATTCTGAGAGCTCCTTCTCTGTGTGCTTTGCTGTTGTCTGAATCTGGGCTAAAGAGTGAGATGTGAACGTCATCCTTTTCTGATTGAGTTTATTCCTGCCACTCCATTTTAAATTCTTTAACAGACTTCAACTTACCTAAGTCCCAAGTTCCCTGCTTTAACAGCTAGAATAGAAAAAAGGTAAATTCGGGGGGGGGGGGAGGGGCAAATTGGGAAGAGGGATAAGGAAAACTGCGGATATAGAAAGCTAGCTAATATAAAATAAGAAAAGGGGTCTTAAAGCCTTTTAGGCCTCAGGTTGATTCTGAGGAAACAAAGATGGTTGTGCCTTGGGGGAGACATACAGGGTGAGCCGGAAGGCATGTGGCCCAGAGAGGTGGTGCATTATAGGAACGAGGAGCGGGACTCTGATTAGTTCTCTGTCTTAGGACAGGGGCCTGGGTTCTACTAATCCCTCTTTCTATTTACTGGCTCACAGAGGAGTGTGGAACTGACCAATCCGTGCACTCAAGTCTGATGAGCACTGTTTTGAAATTTTGGAATCTCGTGGCAAGCAGGTGAAGGGGTGGGCATGGCGGGTCCTGTTCCTTGAGGACCACTGCCGGTGGGAAGCCCAGGAACACTGGGCCATAAAGAATTCTCCTGCCAGGCTTTCTTCCCTGTGAATGGTTTCTTGTTGTTCGTACAATCTTCACATTTGCATGTTGTTTGCTTTGTTTGTTTTCTGCTCCTATGGGTGGTATTTCCTGTGCCTTGGTCATGGAGGTGGTTTTTAAAAACTTGTTCCTGTGGTCAGACTTCAGTCTGAGCTGAAAATGAATCTCCCTTTAGGCAGAAATACCTTTTATGTTGCACTTTTCCATCATCCTCTTGTCAACAACCAATCCAGAGTTTGCTCTTTATCCTGTTCTCGTCCTACTTTTATCTGAGCCACATTTGAAAAGTCAAAATGTTTATATATACAAGAGAAAGCATTAATAGCAGTGGCCTACACTCATTTTCCTCAACTGTTACTCCCATGCTTTGTACACAATTTTTAGAAGAAATTTATTTATTTTACAGAGAGAGAGAGAGAGCGCGCGCACGGGGTGGAGAGGGGCAGAGGGAGGGGGAGAATCCCAAGCAGACTCTTGCTGAGCTCAGAGCCCAGTGTGGGACTGGATCCCATGACCCTGAGGTCATGACCTGCGCCAAAATCAAGAGTCAGATGCTCAACTGACTGAGCCACCCGGGAGCACCTGTACACAATTCTTTGATATGAAAAGCTCTGGAGGACAATGGCAACATAGACATGACCCATGTGATTGGTTAAGCTGTGGTGTACTAGGTGCATTAGTGTCTCAGGATTGGGTCTCTGGAAACATGGGGCTAGGTCTCTGCCAGGCCTTGCCTTGCCCACCAGAATGTGGCTGATTGATTTTTGTGAGCTGGACACCTGGCCAACATTGAGGAAATACGAATCTTTCTTTTATAAACTAAAGCTCATAATCTAAGAGAGGAGTATTAGATAACAAATGAGTAATCTTTACAGCTTCTGGGAGAGTTCTGGAACTTGTGCTACCGAGGTCCTGGAGGGGAAAGCTGAGTGAGGAAATGTCGGGTGGGGAAAGGAGAAAAGGAAGAGGGGCAATAGAAAAGGAAAAGGAAGAGGAGACCTGAGTTTCTGTTCTGTTTTCTTTCTTTTCTTCCTCTTTCCCCTTAGGCCTGTGACCCCTCTTTTGTAGTCTCCTTTCCCCTCCCACCTCTTTCTTTTTAGATAACTTCCTCATCTTTTATCTTGTGCATAAATCTGGCCTCTCTTGCCTTTTCCAGTTTGTCACTTCTGCCCATTATCACCGTTATCACCAGCCAGCCCCACTGAATCAGACTGTTCTCTGAGAATGGTTTCCTGGTCTTCTGTGTCTGTTCCTTTGGTGGAAGGGCATCTTCTGCACTCTGTAGTGTTAGGGAGACTGTCAGTCATTGGAACCCACCTTTTGCAAGATGGTCGATGAGAGTAAGCCATCCCTCTGGCCAAAGAGTTTGGTTCAGGGATGGATGTGTGACCGTTTGACCCAAACAGAGTGATCAAAGTCTTCCTTGGGAGTGGTTGTAGAGAAAGAAGTTCTTTTTCCATTGAAGTTGCTAAACTGGGGCAGCGAAAAGCCTGTCATGGCCATTTTGCCTGCCACATAGGGGGCTGCTCTGGAATGTAAAGTCAAGAATTAAAAACAGAGCTATGAGATGGAAAAAGAAATAGCTTAGATATGCCCTCCTGAATTCTTGGATCTCCAGTCATGACTAAAGTCTGTTCAATACCCAAATTTCCCAGATATAGGATCAAAGAAATATCCTTTATGTTTAAGCTAGCCTCTGTTGGGTTTCTATTATGAACTGTTTAGCACCACAAAGATCAAATGACCAACCAAGTAGTAGAACTTTTTGGAAGTTTCCTCAAGTTAACTAGAATTGGTTCTCATTAATTGCTGCCAATAGAATCTCAACCAGTACTTTGGGAACGTGATGTATTTGGAGACAATTGCCTAAACTACCACGGCTGGTGCTCTATGTTGGTATTGTCCAAGTCTCAAATACAATCCCATGGGTTGTTTGTAAAGATTGTTTAACTGGCCTCTTGGCCATTCTCATCTTCTTCATTTACATAACTCATTATTTATGTTAGATATTGCCTGTTAATAGCACTATCCCTGCTCTTCTTTTCCTTTTCTTTGCATTCTGGGGTTAAAAGCCTGGAAATTAGGGCGCCTGGGTGGCTCAGATGGTTAAGCGTCTGCCTTCGGCTCAGGTCATGATCCCAGGGTCCTGGGATCGAGTCCCACATTGGGCTCCTGGCTCAGCGGGGAGCCTGCTTCTCCCTCTGACCCTCTCCCCTCTCATGCTGTTTCTCTCTCGCTCGCTCTCTAAAAAATAAATAAAATCTTAAAAAAAAAAAAAGCCTGGAAATTAAATTTCTCAAACTCCTTATCAGCAGGGTTCCAGTTAGATTTGGCAAATGAGGGTCACTTTGGTGAGGTCCAGATGGCATCTGGAGGGTTCAAGTCATTCCTCTGTAACATCAGCTATGGAAAGTGTGTGGGTGTCAGCAGGTGGCAGGTGTGAGTTTTTGTGGGTGGTTTTTGGGGCCCTCCTGAAAGTCCCTTCAGTAGGGCAGGCAACTGACATCATCGGTGTCAGCTTCCTGCTGTTTCTAGGCATCTGCCGAAAGACTGACTCTGGAGTATAGGCAGCTGAAATAATGGGCTAACCCGCTGATTCCTGACAGCTAGCAGTCCTCCTGACCATTGTCCTTGCAGGCCTCCTAATGTTTTGGAAGCCTCCAATTCCCTGTATTTAATCTTTTCTTAATTGAGATACCTAGAACAGCTTCTTTATTTCTCACCAAACCCTGACTGCATCATTTTATTATCTTGTATTATGATATAAAGACTTGATTACTTGTAGAAAGACCAAGAAAGAGCATGTGGTGATGGTCAAAATGATCATCCTTCAACTCTGACAATTGTGAAACCACTACGGTCTCTTTTACTGCTGGAGTGGAAGTATTTATCAAATCTAATCCACACTGAAAGGCCTTGAGAGGAAATGATCTGCTCCATTGTACACTCAGAAGGCTAAGTCTCTTTAGGAGGTAGTATTCTAAGTGTTACTAGTCTGGATGGGAAGAACTCATTGTCATGTTTTCTGAATTCTAGTTGTAAATGAAGGGAAAGAGGGCCATTGGCCAAAAGTGCAAATTAAAAAGGCAGTGATCTGGCTTTGGGAATTTGATTGGTCCAGCTGCCTAGAAAAGTGGAATCTTCTGGCTTCTCTTTGGCTTTGCTGAATCTTGCCTTTGAATGTCATGAACGTGCCATTGCCATTTTTTGGTTATTTCTAGAGTGTTTTAATCAGAGTAAGTTAGGCTATGTTGTGGTTATAAATAACCCCCAAATTTCAGGAGTTTAACTCAATACAGGTTTGTTTTTCACTCCTGCTACTGCTGGCTTATAGTTGCCGAGGTAGCTCTCCTGGGCAACATTTCTTTAAGCAGTGATGCGGAGATCTAGGCTCTTTCAGTGGTGTGATAATGCCACACTCTCAAACCTTCACTGTCCCCACAGAAGGGGCAAGAGAGGGCCAGGATCACACAGAGGGTTCATTTCCAGGCCTAGATGTGGCAAATAACACTGCAACTTATATTATGTTGGCTAGATCCCAGTTATAAGATCCCAGTCCAACCACAGGGAGGCCTGGCAGTGTGGTCTTCCTGTGTTATTAATAAGCACCTAGCTAGCTGCGGCCGGATTCTGCCAGAGAGTCATCCCTTCCATGTTCCATTTTGCTCTCACCTCACAAAACTGAGCATATTTTAACATTATTTTTGCTTCTCAAAGGGTTCTTTTACTCATATTGTTTTCTTTATCTATATCAACTGCATGCACCCTAATTTTTCTTATTTGAATGATGTCAGAATAAACACAGACCTTGTGTTTGTATGTTGAATCCTATCGATGATAACAATCAGTGATTGAGGTTCTCTGGTTATCTTAATTGTATTGCGAGAACAGGAA